TACTTTCTGTATTTAATAAAATCACTTGTACTTATTAATTAACTCAGAGTATGTATTAATACCTGGGGGAGCAAACAACTGTGCATATCTCTCTATCAGTGTTATAGAGGGTGAACAATTTATGAGTTTATCCTGTATGAGCTTTATACAAGGTAAAACAGCTTTATTTGGGTTTAGACCCCATTGGGAGTTGGGCATCTGAGTGCTAAAGACAAGCACACTTCTGTGAGCTGTTTTCAGGTAAACCTGCAGCTTTGGGGCAAGTAATTCAGACTCGGCAAGACAGGGTGCTGGAGTCCTGAGCTGGCAGGGAAAACAGGAGCAGAGGTAGTCTTGGCACATCAGGTGACAGCTCTCAGGGGTTTCTGTGATTCAACCCATCACACAACCATAACAGCTGTCTAATGGACAGAGCACTGGACTAGAACACAGGAGACCTGGATTCTGTTCTTGACTCAACCTTGGGCAAATCACTTCACCACCTCCTGCCTCAGTTTTACGATCTGTAAAATGGGGATAATGACACTGACCTCCTTCGTAAAGTGCTTTGAGACGTATTGATGAAAAGCGCTATATAAGAGCTAGGTATCCTTTTATAACTGAACATATCATTTGAAATTTGTTTTCAGTGACTACTCTAACTTGACATTTGCTTCTCTTGTGGATTCATGCTGACAACCCTTGAGCACTTGAGTGTGTCTGGTGGACTAACACAAGAGGCCCAGGAACATGGTCTGAAGTTTCCCTTTAAAATTGAATGGCTATGTGTGGTAAAAAAGGCCTGTGGCTGACTCAGTTCTAGCAAGCGTTATCCTTGTTTTGCACATGGGGAAATTCACATACAGAGAGGGGAAGTGTCTTACCCAAGTCTACAGAGAGAGTCAGTGGCATAGCTAGGAATAGACCCTGGTTCATATTGAACTATATTCCTCACCTACATAAAAAAACATCTCAGCGGTATGATTAAAGGCCAGCGGAGCCATCCAGATTTTCCACATTACACTAAATCTGCTTTTCCTTGATGGGATTCACTGAGGTCAGGCCATTTATATGACGAAAATACATTTGTGTCATTGAATTTTTTAATGTATTTAATTAACACACTGAAATGACCATAAATGAGTGTTAAGCAAATTAATATGAAACTTCTGAAGTGAATTTAGTGCTGGTGTGACAGCTCTGGAGACTGAAGCCCAGTCTATCTAGCAAGCAGTAGCATTGCCGGCATTGTCTTCTGCTGCCAATCTCGTTCAGTCCTGTCCCACATGGTCCAGCTCTGTGGTCTGAAATTGCAAGGAATGATTAGACTCCCTGGCTTTCCCTCTGCGGTCTGAGCCTGTCTGTTGATACTGTGTAAAAGACCATTATGAAAATATTGGTCTTAAGTCTTAGTTTGTATATATTTATCTAGCTAAGCAACTGGATCTATTTTAATTGATTCCACCCTGGAGTACTGTATATTGGGGCTTATACGACCTGCTACCTGGACAGATAGGGAGATTGCAAATGGTAATCTATTTCTCAATGAATGTCAGGGATGATTCAGCATTGGTTTTGTGCAAGCAGAACTAGCTCCATTACAGTTAAGCAGTACAGCAAGCTGTTGCCAACCGGTCTTTGTCAGTAGCATGTGTGAAGTGCATTGGACTAGTTCTTGTCATGCATGTTCCTCTTAAGGATAAGATTTGTTCCATGAAAAGCCATGGTGTGGTCAAAATATAACCCCTCATGCAAAGCCTTATTGTAGAAGGGCTGACTCACCCCTGCCGCGCCTCCTGCTGGTGACTTCTGGGAATTAGCTCTTCCAGTGTCCTGGAGCGCCCTCTGCAGGCCAGTGGTCCGCCTGTTCTCTGGCCCTGTGTCCCTCCCAGACCCCGGTGCCCTTTTATCTGGGGTGCTGCCCCCTGGCAGTACACCCCTCAGTACTAGGGTCTCCCCTCACTGGGGAACTCCCACCCACTATCCCTACCTCACCTCAGAATAAGGCCACTGCCAGTCACCAACTAGCCCCCACTCCCTGGGGCAGACTGCAGTATAGGCCACTCATCACAGGCAAGGTTGGGTTGGGACCTGCTGCCTTGGCCTACCTCTGGGCTGCCCTCTACAACCCCCAGTACCCCTTGGCCTCCTACTAGGCCGCAGCCTGGGGCTATCCAGGCTGGAGCTCCCCAGCCTTTCCCCAGCCCTGCTCCACTCAGGTACTCTGTCTCCCAGCAGCCAGGCCCTTCTCCCTCTGAAGGCAGAGAGAAACTTCTGAGCTCCGGCTCCTAGGGTTACCATATTTCAGCAAGCAAAAAAGAGGACGGGAGGAGCCCCGCCCTAGCTCCGCCCCTGCCCCACCCACTTCCCGCCCCCCTCAGAACTCCCAACCCTCCCCCCCGCTCCT